GAGAGAGAGTGGCGTAGCCAAAGACATTAATGTTAGTTCGGGTTTTGTACGAGGCACCATAATTAGCATTAATTAATGATACGATACAATCATTAATTAAATAGGCCCTGCACATATGTCAGTGTATTCATGTTCTTACTGAATCTGCCAATCAATATAGCCAGCCTCGGTTTTCAGAATACCAGTATCCCATTAAACATAGTCCACGTTAGTCCCACCATTGCATACCATAGGGATGTGTAATATGGTTGGCTGTGTTGGTTGGTAATTTTTTTAAGAATTTGATAAGAACTGATATTTACACTAATATTTATTTGAATTCGTTATACAAATTATATCGCAAATTATAATATGTGTATGTATAATAATATATAATATATATATATATACACGCATCATTACTATATATAGGATTGTAATTAGGGATGGTAATTTCCTTCTTTTCGAAAATTTTCGCCCCGATCTCACCTTTAATGGGATGAATTTAGTGTTTCATTAAATGGATTTGAGACGAATATGATAAAATAATTAAAAACTCAAAGCATGTTTGGGGGAGGGATAAATTTAGTGATGAACCCACCCCAATTATATATGTAATTTTAATTTTTATATATATATATAAAATATATATTTAATATTTTTAAAACTCTTGTTAGTTTGCTGGAAGCATTCTTTAACTTGCCTCCATTGTGCCCCACAATTAAACGGAATACATGGGGCGGGGTCGGTACTTTGTCTACCGGAATAGGGACGAGGATGGTATAACAATTACAAACTTGTTCCGGAATAGGGGCGGAATTAGTATGACAGATTTTTTAATGAAACGGAGTAAGGTTTAGTCGAACCCGTTCCAACTTCGTACCGTTGCCATCCCTAACTGCAACTTCAACTAGTTGAACAAATTGGAGTATAATTCAAGTCAAACTCCATATATGAAAAATTATAAATTTAATCATAATGATCAATTCAAACTTGACCAAATTTAACCTATTCTAAAAATTTTAAATTTGAAATAAAATAAAATTTTGAGTTAAAATATCAGATTAATTTGAATTATTGATATGATCAACCCGATGTTAAAAATTTTAAGTGATATTTAGTTTATTTTGGATTGGACTACTCTTTAGCACAAGAAAAAAAAAAATTTAAAAACTCCATGCAAATTTCTAAAAAGTTGCAAAAAAATTCTTAAGAAAATAAATATCCAAAGTGTTAACATACAATAAATTGATAAAATTTAAACAAAAAAAGGTTGAAAAATAAAAAGTAATCATAATTTCAATATTATATATAAGAACAATATATTTAAAATAATATTATAGTTTGGATTTAAATCCCACTACACTGTTTGTGTCACAATCCTTCTTTTGAATACTTCCTGTAATATAATATCTAAAGAATATATATATATATATATATAGCAATGACACGTGTAAAAAGTTGAAAGGTTGATATTTACACTGAACCCAAGATTGAATCATCAAAAGTAAAGGAGACTTTTTTGGATTTGTATCGACCTATTTTTCACATGGTAGACCTCGGCCAATATGATTTTGTTTTTAGATTTTTTTTTTTAAAAATTTTATATTAATTAGAGTGGCACACTTACATATAAACATTTCACTTTTATTTTTCTCAGGCAATATAAAATTGTGCATCTGTAGTTCATCAATGTAATAGTTTATTAATATTTCGTATCCGCCTACAACACATTCATTCATAAAATCATCACAATCCACCTCCTTTGGAGGCCCTCCCTCCCTATGGCTCTCAAGATGCGTATTTATATAGAGCTGGTGTAACTATCGCAGCGGATTTCTCTCCACTTTTAATCTGATGCTCATTTTATTAATTTCCAGTTTTTTATTTTTTCGTTTCAGTGGTTCTTCTACCTGGGTGATTAGATCACGTGGCCACTAATGATTTGTCCCTGAGGTGGACAGGTGGATTCTTCTAATTTGCCTGCTATATCTATCTGATCCTAGAATTTAATTTTTCAACCATCCAACATATCCAATTCTGAATTCTGATTACCACTCGGTATTATTATTTTTTGGTGTGACACAGATAGGTCATAGACATAGGAAATAAGAATCTATATGGCGAGGCCACACGTTGAAAAATGATTCAACAATCCACCACCCTTATAAGTCACTTTCCATTGGTGCCCACATTTGTTTTCTCCTGGACATATACCGGTGTATGTACGTAAGTTGCTGCATCGTATATCAATTAAAATTTTAAAGGTCATGAATCGGATTAGATTAGATATTAATTTTAAATTCGATCCCCTTCAAAGAGGGGTGGAGTCAGAATTGAACTTTAGGGAAGGCGTAGTGCATTTGACGGAAGAAACAAAAAAAAAAAAAATCCAACTAACATTAAAAAAAAAAAAAATTCATAACAAAAAAATCCAACTAAGATCAAAATTTTTTATTTATTTTTTCAAATAAAAAAGTAAACAAAAAAAATCATTCAATGCCAATATTGATTTGTTGAATTGAAAAGGACATTTAAAATACTTGATAAATATAAGAACCAAATATATATTTTGATAATATTTCTATTTAATGCCAAAATAAACATTTGCAAATTATAGTATAAAATAGTTAGTACAGTCGTGCAGTTCAAATGACTGAATATTTTGATAAGTAAAATGACTAAATCACCCTCAATATATCATTAAATGTTTTTTTGAGGGGGGCATATTTGAACTTTCAAACAAAAAATATACATAATAGTACTAATTTTTGTTTTTTCAAGAGGGGCATACGCCCTCCGGGCACACGGTCCTTCCGCCCCTGACTCTAAACGTATTAGACAAATCTTAACTAATCACCGATCCGTGATAACGGATCGGATCGAATTGAATTTACGAATTGAATTTAATCTAAATTATCTATTATTATTTTTATAATTAATATTATTTATTTATCTTTTAATTAAAACCCAATAAATAAAATTTTAATTTATTTATATTAATTCACATGTTAAAAATGATTCAACAACCCACCACCCTTATAAGTCACTTTCCATTGGTGCCCACATTTGTTTTTGGGGAATGTTACAATTCCAAAAGGACAAGGGAAAAAGTTATTTACATGAGTATCCAAACAGACGGACACTTCATTATTACAGTAGTAACCTTTACTTTCGTCCTCCAATAATGTCCCCCACCTTCTTTCCATTAAAGACGCATACTTATTAAAATTTCTTTTGACCACATTAAAGCTCATCATGTAATATGCCATATACACTCATACTTTGTACTATATACATAAATTAATATCAATGTATATGGAATAATAATTAGGTATTAAAAGAGCAATTAGGAGCCAAAGATAAGAACAATTTGGTTTGAAAATTTTAATTTGTTGTGCACATCAATCAATATTTGATTTAATTTTTTTTTTTTTTTAGTAAAAGATATCACAATGATGCTCTTTCATAATAGATTTTTATTTTTAACTTATATGAGCGTGAGTAAGTGGTATAATAACTATCACCACACAGTACTAAGCATGGGACAAGAACACATAATAAAGAAGGTCAGCTTAATCTAACCATATTGTTGTCCACTTGACTTTAAAGTACTAAAAAATTGTCAGTTTTTTCTTTTTTTCCTTTTTTATGTCACTTTTTTAAGAACAACTTTTTGTAATCTAAATCTTCAAAGATTTTCTTTTTCTCTTTTTAATTAAAAAAAAATTCTTATAACAAAAAAATAGTTAAAAAAATTCATGTATTTGAAAGTTTCATGAAAGTTGTTTGTACAAAATCCAAAAATTAATCAGTTACCTGTTTGATAACTTTTTCAGTTTTGGTTTTCAATTGTGGTTTTCATTTTTTTTTTTATGAAACGGCAATAAAATCAGTTTGGTAACTCTATTTTGACTTTCACATTTTAAAACGTTTGAAAAGTAGTTATCATTTTCTTCACAATTCTCATAACTCCAACATGAAACTTTGGTTTTCAAATAATTGTTATTTATTATTTAATTATTTTATAATTAGAGAAATATTATTTTATTAATTTTCAATTATACTTGAATAGTAAATAAAATTAAAATAAATATTTTATTATACTGGAATAGTAAAATTAAAAATTTATTTTATTAATTTTTAACTATACTCGAATAATAAATAATATATTATTTTATTAATTTTCAATTATACTCGAATAGTAAAATAAAACAAAAAATTAATTTTCAATTATATTCGAATAGTAAATAAAATATTACTCAAATAGTAAATAAAATATTATTTCATTTTATTTTAATTATAAAAAATGTATATATAATTATATATAGGAGTTGCTTGACTTGTAATTCAAAAAATATTTATTAAGAATTCAGAAAATAAAAGACCGTTCTTAGACAATAATAAAGTTCAATTATCTAAAAACAAGGTTTTTCTTAACTGAATTTTAAAAAATAATATATATATATATATATTTTTATTTTTTAAAAATAAAAATTTATTTTCAGATTAACAAATTAAGTAAACCTATACTTTTTTTTTATTATTAATTTCAGAATCTTGAAACCTGATTTTGAAAATTCAAATCGAATTCCTTTCATCTTAAAAAATAAAAATTTATTTTCAGAGTAACAAATTAAGTAAACCTATACTTTTTTATTTTATTTTATTAATTTCAGAATCTTGAAACCTGATTTTGAAAATTCAAATCGAATTCCTTTCATCTCTCTCTTTTTTCACTTCCTCCTCCTCTCTTTTTACTCTACTCCCTCTTCTGGCAGCCGTAATAGGTCTGGTCGCTTTAGCTTTCATGTGAATAGATACAAGTATATAACTATATAACACACACAGTACACACACTCTCTCTCCATAAAAGTGGGACCAGCTTCTAGCTTTGTGTCAGTCGTCACTCGCTGCTCAATTGCCAACCTTCAGCTATCAAACAAAGAAAAAAACAACATAAAAGAAAATTTTGTTGGATTAGATGTCCCCAAGTTCATTTGTGTTCTTTAATGCATACAAAACCAAGTGGTCTCTCCTCTGCCTTGACACAATTAAAGTAATTTACCCAATTTTCTCAAAACGTGCTTCAATTAGCAGAAATAAGAGTAAAAATTAGTACTTGGGGTTTTGAGGGACAAAGTCACAAGGGTCTCCATATTTCTGTACCCCAAAATTAAGTGGTCTGACTTCATAGTAAAAGACTGCTTTTAAGAGCTTCCAAACAAGAAAAGTAATTTACAAAGCTGATACTAGTATTATTTGGCTTTCTGCTATGCTAGCTCTTCTCACCCTACCACAAAAGAAATTATCCTCGTTTTTTTTTTTTTTTTTGGGATCCAAGAAAGTTTTTGGCCAAAGTGCAGGAATAATTCCAGTCTGAGGAAGGAAATCAAAGTGGGAATTTAGCAAGATGGTCAGTATAATCCATTTTCCTCCTAAAGTGGTGTGTGTGTGTATATAGGTATGTATTATTTTTCATATGGATCATGGTCTCTAATTTTAGTATCTGTTTGTTTTCCAGCTCAAAAGTCACTGTGTTTCACTACCTTTCTCAAAGGATGAACTAAGCTAAACCAAGTAATTAGTTGCAGCTATGAATTGATAAGCAAAAGCAATTTGTTTGTTCAATCTTAACAGAGCCACAAATTCATCTGAAAGGTTGTGTTCACATCAGAAATCTGAAAGTGGGTTTTTTGTTCTTATTTTGACTATTATGATTGTTAGGTTTTAACTTGTATGAGTTAATTTTTAGGGTTATGTGTTGGAAAATGGCTAATGGGATGCAAAGCCAAGAGGGTTTGCCAGAAAATATGAGAAAGCAGCTTGCTGTTGCTGTTAGGAGTGTTCAGTGGAGCTATGCAATCTTCTGGTCACTGTCATCTACACAAGAAGGGTATGTCACATTTGGCACTATTTCATCATCTCTCTCTCTCTCTAGCATTTCTCTGATATATTGTATTTCTTTAATTTCTGTATCTGGGTTTAAATGAATTTCTGGATCTGGTATGTATAAACACTAAATGGTTTGGGTTCCATGAAAAGTTGTTATTATTGTAACCATAATTAGCACTTCCCCATTCTGATTGCGTACAGATCTCCAAGCTTTGTCTTCTTCCTTTTCTTTTCATTGCAAAAAATGGTAAAGTGCTCTGTTGTGGAGTTGAAAGTGTTAATGTAGGGTTTTGGAATTTACTTAATTTGTTAAATGTGTAAATCTATGGCTTTATGCTAGCATCATATTATTATGCACTGGTTCAAAGAAGTGATCCCAACTTCTTTTTCTTTTTATTTTTTTTTTCAAAAAAAAAAAATAAAATTTTTGGGAAAAAAAAAAGAATTGACAATAAATATATGATAATGCTTAACTATGAAGAAGCGCCCATTTATGATTACATCCTTTTGACTTGACTAGACATACTTAAAAATACTCCATTTACATGCATTTTACCTCCACACTCCTCATTGCTGGCTCTCAGAAAATTTGGGTTTTAATATTATTTAGGGTACTGGAATGGGGTGATGGGTACTATAATGGAGATATTAAGACAAGGAAGACAGTCCAAGCCATGGAGCTTAAAGCAGATAAAATGGGTTTGCAGAGAAGTGAACAATTGAGGGAGCTGTATGGGTCTCTCTTAGAAGGCGAAACCGATCAACAAGCTCAGAGGCCTTCTGCTTCCTTGTCTCCAGAAGATCTCTCAGATGCAGAGTGGTATTACTTGGTTTGCATGTCCTTTGTGTTCAACCCTGGCCAAGGGTACTAAACTCTCTTCCACTGATCTGAACATTTCTTATTTTCTATTTGTTGTTGAGCTTAATAATGAATCGATGAAAATTAAACGGAACATTGTGATATATATAGCATTTAACGTGCAAAACCATCATCCACGATTGTAATTATAAAGATTGATTCTTTTATAGGATTATATTCAAAAATTCAGAAAAGTGACAATTTCCAAGTTTTTAATGATGGTGGACACAAGTTCATGTAATTCCCATTTTTTTAATATTTTTTTTTTATAAGTAATACCACATTCTTGAAATATGAATTGTTAGAAATTAATGGCTAAATACAATGGAATAACCAAGTTTCATGGTTTGTCCAAATGTGCCTTAAACTTTTTCCTTTGTAGTAGTAGTAGAGTTGTTGTTATTTCTGCATTAAACTACAATTCATTGTAGTTTGGACATACCGTGAAACTTGGTATTTATCCAAGGTTTTATTATTATTTGCATACATTTAACACTATGATTTGTGACCACTCTTCCACCACATTGTTGCATAGTTTGCCAGGAAGAGCGTTAGCAATTGGTCAACCCATCTGGTTATGCAATGCTCAATATGCTGATAGCAAAATATTCTCTCGATCTTTGCTAGCAAAGGTGAGTTGAGATATGTTCTAAATTTGATGCCAATTTCAATTGGTTTACAGGCCAAGTTGTATGGCATATGTTTTAGTATGCTAACTTACTTTATTTTTTTCATTTTCTTTCTTCTGTTTCAATCGCTGGATCTTAAAAATCATCGTTCCCAGAGCGCATCTATTCAGGTACGATGATCTCTATGTTTAACAAAATCATATAATACTTCACATTGTGCATATAGGTCCATGGCTATACTGAATTGATCAACAAAGGAAGAATGAATAATACTTTTCGAATTTACTATAATCCATGGTAAACGAAAAAACTACAGATCTCTCTGAAAAATCGGATTGGTCTCTGAAATTATTAATTGGAATTAAAATATAAGAAAACCAGATTGACATATGCTAGTTAAAAATGTTGGACTCATTTACTTGTGTTTCTGTTTTTACAATCTCAAACACTGGCAGAGGTTGCTCACGCTGTTTATCTTCTGCTGAATGCTACAGCTGAGCGGTTTTGGACCATGCTGCCCTTCTCAAAACAAAAACGAGACTGAGAGAGCCCAATTTAAATAAAAATGAAACTTCACTTTCTAACTTAAAAGGATTTTATTTACCTTGTGATTATAACAGACTCTCTTATGTTTCTATTATCAAAGAAGTAGATCCATTCCTCCCAATCCCTGCTGTGGTTTCTGACACGAAATTCAGAATACATAATTGTATTCAAGCCTCCTTTGAATGTATTTGATAGCAACAAAACAATCCAAAACAATACCAGCATGATTTAATTTAGGCAATATTTTTGCTTTATGCAAAAAAAACCTTATTTCACCCAAAAGCTTTTTGTTGATATTAAGTTTGATATTTTTGCATAAAACAAATTTTCTGTAATTCTTTTTCACTACTTTAATTTGTCTTAGCTTAACACTTTTTCGTTAGATATATAGCAATGTAGATATAGAACACTCCCATTGCCAGAATACTTGTCTGTTTGCCAAATTTTATTCAAATCTGTACCTCATTCCAGTTCATGTACATGTAGATATGATGCATAATGTTAGACATCAACATTCTTGCTGATATTAGTTGTAATATTTCTATGACAAATATCAGTACTCACAACAGCGGTTATTTTTGGCAGACTGTTGTATGTTTTCCCCATTTGGGTGGTGTCATTGAGCTAGGTGTTACTGAGTTGGTAACTTCTTTTCTGTTTCTTCTCTAAAAGTGATTTACTACTATATTCTGTTGTAGATTAATTTTCTGAAGTACAAAATCATCCTCAATAAGTCGTTTGTCTTCTTTAATTTTTGTTGTCTTAAGGTATTGGAGGATCCTAGTGTAATTCAACATATAAAAACTACTTTATTGGAGTTCTCAAAGCTTGATTGCTCCGAAAAATCTTCCTCTGCTCCTCGTAACCCAGATGATGATAAAGATGGCATGTGTGCCAAGGTTGAGCATGAAATTCTTGATACAATGGCTTTGGAGAATTTATATTCCCCAATAGAAGATATCGAGTTTGATCAGGCGGGACTTAATAAATTAGATGGAAATATCCAGGAAGATTTCACAATTGATTCTCCTGATGACTGTTCGAATGGCTGTGAGCATAATCACCAGACTGAGGACTCCTTCATGCTTGAGGGTGTTAATGGTGGAGCTTCTCAAGTTCAGAGTTGGCATTTCATGGATGATGACTTGAGCAACTGCATTCAAGGTTCCATGAATTCAAGTGATTGCATATCTCAAGCTTTTGTGAAACAAGAAAAGGTTATTTCTGCCCCCCAAGGTCGAAATATAAATAATGTTCATTTGAAAGAACTTCAAGAATGCAACCACACAAAACTTAGCTCCTTGGACCTTGGACACCATGAAGACTTGCACTATAAAAGAACTCTTTCTACATTTTTTAAACATTCTCCCCTGTTGATGGAGAGCCTGCGTTTTCAAAGTTGTGATCACAAATCCAGCTTCAGGTGTTGGAAGAAAGTGAATCTGGTTGACGGTCATAGGCCTCAGGAGCAGCAGAGAATGTTAAAGAAGATCCTATTTCATGTCCCTTTAATGTATGGAGGTAGCTCACTGAAGTCCCAAAATGAAGACTCTGGAGAGGATTGGATCCGGAAACCAGAAAGTGATGAGATCTGCATGAAACATGCTTTGCCAGAAAAAATAACAGAGGATGAAAAGTTTTTGGTCCTCAAGTCAATGGTTCCTTCTATAAGCAAGGTAATTCAGTTGTCATCGACTGAAAAATATTGTGTTTGCTTTTATGCTGCTTGAACATTTAACAAAATTTATGGATGTAAGAAAAAGAACTACACAACTTTCAAATAAGTATGCTTGCCGTGATTTTATCCCATAGATACAACTACTTTGCAAAACCATCACAAATATAAATGATATTCCAGATGTCAAGACAGGTCTTTTATTTCCTAAAATGCTTTTATTTTCCAACCAAAACACATTTTAGTTTTGTATTATTTTCTCAAATGATTTATGTGGACTATGCCGTTGCTGCTGTAATGAAATATATTCTGAAACTCGTGAAACGTATTTATGTCTATGTTATTCTCATTCATCGTGTTGATGCAGATTGACAAAGCATCAATCCTAGGTGACACAATAGAATACTTGAAAGAGCTTGAGGCCAGAGTTGGAGAATTGGAATCTTGTGTTGGCTTAGCCAAGTATGAAGGAACAGCTCGAAGGAAAAATCCAGACATGGTTGAGCAAACATCTGATAACTATGAAAACAGAAGGATTGATTATACCAAGAAAGCTTGGATAAATAAGAGGAAGGCTTGTGATATTGATGAAACCGGCCCAGAACTCAGTAACATTCTTCCAAAAGATGGTCCACAGTTAGACATGAAAGTTAGCATTAAAGAGCAGGAAGTTCTGATTGAGATGAGATGTCCTTCTAGAGAATACTTATTGCTCGATATCATGGATGTTATAAACAATCTCAACTTGGATGCTCACTCAGTTCAATCATCTAATGTTGATGGCATTCTCACTTTAACCGTTCAATCTAAGGTTCGTACTTCAAATTAAAGGAGATTATGTGACTGCCTTTTCCTTTTTTTCTCCTATAATCAGGATGCTTTTGAAAGTAACTTCAAGGGATAATGACTTCATTGACCAATATTATGCTTTCTAACAGCCTATTCCATCATGAAAAAGGAGAAAAAGAAGGTGAAAAAGATAGTTGTCACCTTATCTAAATTATCTGAATTTATATTTTCTTCTCAAAAAGTGCATGTGGTACCCACCGACTTTTGGAACAACTTCAAAATGAATTGTAGCACTTTAGCTGCATTGTTCAAGTGAATTTTATGAATTTAGTGGACGCGAAAAGTCATTATTCCTTGAAATTGGTACCAGATGTGCACCCTCATCATTTATAAAATTATGATTCTTTAATTCGCGATTTTCCAGTTTCGTGGAGCAGCAGTTGCATCAGCTAGGATGATCAAACAAGAGCTTTCAAGGATTGCCGGAAAGTGTTGAAGAGCCAGGTCGATATTGATCAACCGGTATTTGTAGGATTTCAGTTTGTATAATTTGCTTCTTAATTGTTATGTAACGGGTATTACCCCAGTAGTGACTTGAGTTCTCCCATCTACTTCTTAACATGCATTGCTTATGGTTCCTAAACCTTCAAACTTGCTAATTGTCTTGACCAGTGACTTAGTGATGTAGAACCAAACCTTGGATGTAATTTACCTATTCCATCATTTGTGTTAGTTTTATTTCAGTGGGACTGTATAAAATTTCATGATCAGTGATCTTTTCGCTGAAACCATGTAATGTTCAGAATCTCTGTTATCAGGAGAAAGGAGTTGATATAAATAAATGGGAATTAGTATGTTCTCATTATGATTTTTTTTCCCAGTACCTATGTTCTCATTATGATGCGTTGTGAATGTTTAAGGTACCTTATTTTGCTACAAGAAATGATACTTTCTAGTTGGGATTCAAAGCGTGGTAAAAGTGTACAGTATTATTAGGCTCCACACTTTTTATTGGATATGGGTGAATTTTTAACCCCATGAGCATCCAGTATGCCCTAATTTGTAGCGAGAGGAAGGCAGTTTAGTGAGGAAACTACTATGGTGTGGGGCTACATGGCAAGCCTCACACAAAACATTTTAGGTAGCTCGATTCATGCAGCGAGCATTTGCAATCAGTGGGCCCTACTTTTGCCCTACTTTCTCTCCTCTCTCTAAAATAAATTAAAATATATATAATTAGCCAACTCAGGCAATACCATATCTGACTGGGATGACCATAAGGCTGGCGTGGCTCTCTACATTTACAAATGTGAAGAGCTGATATTGTAAAGAAGTGGGAGAGACATTGTTCATAAAAAAAAAAACAAAGCTTTCTAGAATTTACCTAGCTACGGGGGATTATTATTATTTTTAATTTTCACTAAAAACTTACATGTACTCACTTTGCCTTATGAGAGAACTTGAAGCCTCTTTCTCTTTGGAAGTCATCAAGTACATACCAATAGATTACAACTTTTGATAACTAGAAAATTATCAACTCCTATAAAATACAGTTTAGGTTTCTATGGTTGGGCTTTGCTCAGACGATAATCTCCCTTCCCCCAATGGGATCTTACTTCACACTTCGCTACTTTGCTTTCAAAAACAGAAAGAGCAGCTGACCTCGATGACATTTGGTTTCAAAAATGAGGCTACTCAATCAGATAATATAGTTTGTTTCAATAAACAGAAAGAGCAACTGACCAAATGACATTGGTCAGCTGCTCTTTCTGTTTATTGAAACAAACTATATTATCTTATTGAGAGAGACCATAAAAACATGACAATGTTTGCTTAATCCTTACTACACATTTTGTGGGGTCCGCACTTTCCTCCGGTCAATATCGATAGTGCGGGTATCTTAGTTTTCTTAGTATACATTTCATATAGTAAAGATTAATTGTGACTAAAATAAAACAAGAAAAAGTGCTATTAAGTACCACGTATTAAATTTAATTCGAGTGGTATTTTATTTACTTATAAATAAATTTTTGAAAAAATCTCAATATTATTTTTGTTATATTTGAAAGCATTGAATCCTGAATTTAGAATTAAAAAAAATAATTTTAAAATGTAAATTAAATTTTTTTTTTTTTTTTTTTTCTTTTCAATTTTAATGTCCGAACGTCAATTCAATGTTGGGAGCATTGATTCCAGACTAGAAACACCTCTAACCTTTTAGTATATCATTGCTTGAGAATATTATTTGCCTAAATTGGGCAAATGTGAGACTCCTATTAAACTTTCTTTTCAATCCATTTTTTAGTATTCACAGACACATATTTAATTATATATATATATATATATATATTATATCTTTCTTATAATCAACAATAACAGACTTGTGTTATCATTAGCTTGTGATTTTTGTGTCTTGCCAAAGATGTTTATATTGAGGACATACTGGAAACATAGGGAAGGTAGAACAAGAACCCCTCTTCCCTAGTATTGTAGTAGAACAGGAAAATATGTGTGTGCTGATAATGGTAGTGAGAATATGTCCAACAAAAGAGATAAAGGAGTTTGATTTGCAGCGGTGAAAGGTGATTATTTTGATCTATCCGAAGATTACATATGTGAAGGCGAATGTATGATATGTATCCTCTTTTCCAGAATGCATACAAACTGTTCGACGGAATTACCCAGAGACACCCTTTTAAACGAAATTCCATATTTTGTTTGGCTCATAGTACATTGTGTAGAACCCATTCATATTTCGGAGACCCGACTGAGTTGTTCGCTGAAAATGAGAAGATAGTATCTTGGACGTCAAAAATATCTGGGTTGGTGAGGCGAAATAAGCCAGAAGATGCCATTGCTTTGTTCAAGACTATGCTTATGAAGCAGCAGAGGCCGAACTACGTGACAATTTTGAGCGTGATACGGGCAGTTGGTTTATTGAGTTGGAAAAATATGATAAAGGAAATGCATGGGTTGGCGATCAAAATGGGGTGTGAGTCAGAAACAACAGTGGTAACAGCCCTTCTTGGCATATATTCTACACGGGATATGGAAATAGTCTGGAAGCTGTTTGATCAGACAGACAAGAAGGATGTAGTTTTATGGAGTGCAATGGTTTCGGCCTGTGTGAGGAATGAGCAGTACATGGAAGCGTTTAAGTTTCTAAGAGAAATGCAATTTCATGGTGTACAGCCAAACCACGTGAGCTTGGTAAGTATACTACCTGCTTGTGCTGATCTTGCTGCTTTGTCATTTGGCAAACAGATACACGGGTTCTCTATAAAGAGGCTGTTACATTCCCTTACCAATGTTCAGAACTCACTTGTAGATATGTATGCAAAATGTGGGAATTTGGAGGCATCCATTCGAGTATTTAATAAGATCGTGAATAAGGATCTCATCTCTTGGAGGACTATGATTCGTGGGTGTGTCGAGAATGAGAGCCCAAGAATAGCATTGACTATGTTTTCCAATATGCGAACTTATTGTTTTGAACTAGATGAGACTATAATCCGGGATGCAATCGCAGCATCTATACAAGCGGCAGACCTTAATTTTGGACTGGGATATCATTGCTTCATGCTAAAAAGTGGATTTCTGGCTTTTGTTTCCGTAGTGACTGCACTCCTTCAAATGTATGCTAAATTTGGCAGAGTTGAGTTAGCCATGATTTTATTTAATCAGATCCATCAGAAAGATCTGATTGCCTGGACTGCAATGATCTCAGCTTATGCTCAAAGTGGACATCCTGGTAATGCATTGGATACTTACCGACAGATGAAAGCAACAAACGAGATACCTAATGAGATCACTTTTGTTAGTCTATTGCAAGCTTGCTCTTCAATGGATGCTGAAGAGCTCGGGGAAAGCATCCATGGTCATGTAACTAAAGCTGGTTATTCATCTAATGCATTTTTAACATCAGCACTGATTGATTTCTACTGCAAATTTGGAAGGATAAAGCAAGGAAAGGCTATTTTTGATGATATTCCTGTCAAAGATCTTATATGCTGGAGTTCAATGATTAACGGATATGGGATAAATGGGTGTGGAAGCGAGGCTCTAGAAACTTTGTCAAATATGTTGGATTGTGGGATAAAGCCCAATGATATTGTTTTTATTTCTGTTCTATCTGCTTGTAGTCACTGTGGGCTAGAATATGAGGGATGGAACTGGTTTTATGCTATGGAAGAGATATATGGCATTATGCCTAAACTTGCACACTACGCTTGCATGGTGGATTTGCTCAGTCGTCGAGGAAATATAGAAGAAGCTCTTGAATTTGTGAACAAAATGCCCATTGCTCCTGATAAAAGAATTTGGGGAGCTCTTCTTGCTGGTTGTAGATTAACTCATGGGTACATTGATATTGCTGAACTCGTGGCCGAACAACTCATTGGTTTGGACCCACAAAATACTAGCTATTATGTGATTTTGTCAAACTTGTATGCTGACCAAGGTAGATGGGAGGATGTGGAGAGGCTGAGAAAAATGGTGGACATGAAGGGCTTGAGGAAGGAATTGGGATACAGCATGATTGAATCAAATTTATGAATTGTACATTATTTACATTGATTTGACATCATTAGATTGATAATTCAAGTCTCAACAGATTGCATGTTGTTGTTTTCACTAAACTTGTAAAATGTTGGAAATAAATTTGTAAAATTTATATTTACTAAAGGAATGTGCATCATTTGTTTGTTGGAATATTTTCCTACTTAGTACTTATTCTTTTTCTTTTCTTGGTTTTGGTAACCACATCCTAGTTGAGATTCATATGTGTACCATATATTATTTCAGAAATGTGGATTGTTTCCTCCTTTCTAAGCCATTTTGTCCATGTTGCTTCTGCCTGCTTTAGACTGGTCGCATGATGATTAATAGTCCACCCTTAATTTGTTTTTAATAATAGATCAATAGGTCTCTTTTTTATGATAACTGTTAGTAATTTATATGGCCACAGTTCCAACATCGGGTAATACTTGGTAAAGTGTTGACTGCACTTTTATTAGTCTGCTCCTTCCATCGCTAGTCTATGTATGATATGGTCTGTATAAGTTTTTTATTTATTTATTTATTTAAAGTAAATATGAATTTATATATTTATTATGTATACTGTTATAGTTTGTGTGGCTTAATTAGTGATTTATTACTCATTTAAAACATCTAAATTTGCTTCTTTGCTTATACCTCTTTCATTAATTGTTATATTGAATTAACTTTTGTAACTGCTACTATCAGTAATATAAATTCAAAGACCAGCATCGCGTACACTTGAAATCTCTCTCATGAAAGGAGGAATCCTTGAAGTACTTCTTGTTAGTGCTGAAGGCATAAGACATACAAAACTCATTGGTTCTCTATCTCTATCTCTATCTCTATCCCTATCTCTCAGTTGATGAACATGAATGCAACATGTGTACAGTTTTCATGTAGTACAGAAGGCACACTGTTCTTTGTTTTACAAATTTCTTCATTTTATCATCTAGTTTGTACTAATTATAGCTTATTAACAGTCTGAATTTAATCTTATCACAGGGAAATCAGCCAATTATGTTATTATTGAATGTGGAACTCAAGTGCATAGAAGCAAAACTTCAGCAGGTTAGTCATGTCTAGTCTCTTCTAAAACGTCGATGTTCTTAACTATTTATACTAGTAACAGAGTTGGGTTGTGCAGGTCATCATGGAGAAGTTTACTGGAATGAGAAATTCACATTTGAATTCCCATCCTCCGAATGGGAAAATTTGACAGACCTTAAACTTAAAATCATGGATGAGAAATATTTCTCTGATGGTGGATTTGTCGGTGAAACCATGTAACAATTTCCTTAGTCGAAGCATCTTTGCATTTCGATTTTTTTTCTTTTATAAAGAAAAACATTTATGGGCATACATTGTGTTGTTGTTGTTGTTACTAATAATTAATTAATGATTTTATGCAATGCAGAGTTTACCTTGATCGAATAATCATGAAGGGAAACGACGAAGGAATTATAGAACTGATACCAGCTCCATATAATGTGGTTCTTGAAGATGACACTTACAAAGGAGAGATCAAGATCGGAATCAAATTCATCTCTAACGTAAGAATGTTTTTATTTTCATTCTATATTTTTTGTTTCACTCAAGCTTATTGGAATGATAAGAAAAACATATAATAACTACTATGATTTGCAGAGAGAATTGCATAGAGGGACGAGATCATATATGACAGACGGAAAGGAACCCGGGGAATCAATATGCAGAAGAATCATGAATCTCTGGAAAATCCCATGTTGGAGGTGTTTGTCTCTCTATAAAAACACAAATTCAGAAGACAAGAACAAGGAATTTTAGGAGGATACTGAGTGAATGTAGTTTGGACAATTTGACCCCTTCACGATGGATCAAATATGGATATTTTTATGTGTTATTAGGATTCATTGTGTAGAAAATCTATCAACCATGACTAGAGAGTCGTTAAAATAGGTTCAGAATTTTAATTTCGAAACAGTAAATTTTGATCAAATTATTGAAAAATAATACAAGAAAATAAACCCTTTTTTTTTTTTTTTTTTTTTTCAATCTTGTAAGTTTCTTGATGATATTCTACTGCTATTCTTGATAATTGTTTCAAGACTTGATTTAAAATGTACTTTTTGGAATTTAGCTCCTTGTCAATAATAACAAATCTCTGCATCCCCCCCCCCCCCCCAACAATCTTTTTTTTGGAAAATAAAATATAAATAAATAAATAAATAAATAAATTGTGAAGAAGAGAGGTGAAAAGATAATTGTAAAAAAAAAAAAAATGATAAAAAGAAAAAAAAGAAAGAGAAAAAAAAAAAAAAAAAACAGGAGGAGACGCGAGAACCACATTATATTATGGGTCATGATGAATAAAATTAATTGTATCTACTTGGTAGAAATATTTCAATGTGTCACAATAGCAAGAATACTCATCCATAACATCATATTAAACTGAAAATAAGTAAGTCAATACTACCTTTCTTTTCTTAACATTAGCTCTGCATGCGTTACTGATGCCACTAACTCTGCTACAAACTCAGCAACCACCACCCCCGCCACCGCAGCCACCACCACCACTGCCACCACCACAACCACCTCCACCACCGCCACCACCACAACCGCCGCCGCCACAACCGCCGCCACCACCACCACCGCAGCCAGCACCGCCACCACGGCAACCAGCGCCTACTCCAGCACCAGCACCCCAAAAAATAGGACCTCCGGCCCCACCTCCACCGCCACCCCAACCAGAGCTACTTCTGCTGCTTTTCTTTTTAGGTTTGTCAACGCTTTTCTTCTTAGGTTTGTCATCATTGTCTGGTTCATGACCACAAGCAAATATGAGCACTGACATGACTGCGAGGAACATTACAATCGAGTAGAACAAGAACGTGAATCTAGAGCCACCCAACATGATGCCCCCTTCGTCTGGATTTCCACCCCCTAAAGTGACTAAATACCTCGCCATAACTGAAGAAGATCGAAGCAGAAACTATAAACACTCACAAAATAACAATTTTGAATCCACAAAGAGAACTCTAAAATATTATTAATGAATGAATAATTGTGCTCTTACTACATGTATTTATATTAATATATAACTCCCAACCATACTCCAATTTTACATAATAAATTCTTAATAATTAAGTTAGGATAACTATCAGGCTTTAAAGACGTTATTTTGGAGTTCTAAAAGAATTTGTTCAGTATATTTATATATTCAAGTACGTGCCTTTGTCATATATATTCATGAACAGTAGGCAAAATGCCTCACCATGTCTCATATTCATACTATGAAAAGGTATAAGTTATATTTATTAAAGATATATTTAATTAAGTAAAGTTACAAAGATCTTTTCAGTCAAAAGGATAAAAGTGACATTTCATAGAGCCAGCTAACTCAAAATTTGCACCTGTATGTAATTAGGACTTATTTTTGGATAAAGTCCATCAAATTTATCCAAAAATGTTACTTAATTCTTTCTGGGGCAAGCAAGTCAATAAATGTTGGAAGGTTATTTTTAGTCCTCTTTCAACATTTTCTCTTGGAAGGTTATTTCTGGGGCTCAATTCAATAAATGTTGGAATATTTTGCTATTTTTTTTAGTGTTAGTCTATATCATATTATCTGACTGACAATGACCCTCTTAACCGATTTTTTTATTGATTCATTTCATAATATATATATATATATATATATATATATATATATATATATATTGAATTATGATTTAGGCTTCGTTTGTATGTTTCGACCTAATAATAGATTTAGGTTGATGTTGAGATTGAGTTCATACGATAAAGCATGTAAAATATTTGTCCAAAATTAATAGATTCGTTATTTTTTATTAAGTTTTTATATATTTTATTTCTTCATAAATTTTTTACAATAATCAAACACTAAAAAACAAAAATAAAAATAAAAAATATTTTATATCAAAACAATAAGAGATACAATATACCTAGTATTTCAAAATAATCCTTTGAAAACCAAAATCAATAGAAACTTACAAATAAAAATAAAATAAAATAAAAAATCTATCAATTTCTGCATGCAATCTCAAACCCCACTCTTTCTATAGTGTCATCACAACCTTACTGTTTTCAGAGTTCATGTATCAATTATGATTTTGATGGCGATTAAGGCTGAAAATATTTTCTTTACCTATATAACATATATTTTCATGTAAAATGTTTTTTTTTTTTTTGAATATTTGACAGATATTTTGAAAATATTTTTGATATTTGGCTTCTAAAAGTATTTTTGAATTAAATTAAAATTCTTATTTGAGTCATTGATTATGCAATTTTTCTCTTTCTATCAATTGGTCTAATTATTTTTATACCAACAATAATAATTACTCCATATTTGACAAAAAATATCAAAATAATCAATTAATTTTTAAATAAATGATAAGGAAACTGAAACTAACCTTTCTATCATCAAATGCAACAAGTGAGTTTTTTTTTTTTTCCTTCACTTTACATATCACTTTCTAAGGTTTTAGAAAGTAATGCTATGAGTTAATCACTAAGACAATAATGATGACAAAAAATATAATAAAAAAAGCAAATTAAAGAAATCAAAAATAGGAAACTGTATGATTGTTGTTAAAGGAAATATTGGCCTTGTGTTTCTCCCACAATAGGTATTGGACTTATTAACTCTTCTTTTTAAGAGTTTTTAGTTTCTAGTCATTATAGCATATGTAAAAAGTCATCTCCGCTCTTTTTCTCTCTCTCTAAAATTCACTTTATTAAATGTTTACTTTCTTTCTTTCTCTCTAGATGTTCTCTTTCTTGCTCGAAACTGCTTTTTCGATCCCATATGCTTTTGTTGAGTAGATCTAGAGTGAAATTGATAGGCTCGGAAAAATGACTTTCGAAAGATTAATTGGTAAGTTGTTTTGAAAAGTTTTTTTTCTCTGTGAAAGATTTTATTTGAATTTAGAACTACCAAACACCAAAAAACAAAAAAATATATATTTAGAAAATATTTTACGCTCAAAACAGGGCCTAAAATGAAATTTCATAAGCACACATAAAACTACACAAGTATGCTGTGAAATCTTCCGATATTATCTCCACAATCTTACTTCACCAAACAGCTGATTCAAGTACCACATTGTTATCACTTATGGGTCATGAATTGATTTTTCAATTTCAATCAGAGTTCCATAGAACAACTCAAGCTAATAATTTTGAAGAAGCAAATTGGAGCCTAAAATAAAAAACAAACTTAGACGAAAAAAAAACAAGAAAAAGTTTCCCATATGATAAATCATAAACGAAAAGGACTCTTAACATGTAAGAGCCCTGTGGTTTTTGATTTTTTGTTGTACTCTAAAAAAAATTTATGCTAGAAATTAATTTATATCTACTTAATATAAGCTTCAATATGTGACAATAACAAAGAGTATTTAATACATAACATCAAATTAAACTGAAAACAAACGAGTTGCTACGTCTTTTCTCTTATTACATGAAGTCACTCAACTTCAATTCCCTCCTCTCTAACCTTCTAGCCTCCACAACCGCCGCCACCACCGCAACCACCACCGCAACCACCACCTACTCCAGCATCGCCGCCTCCACCTCTACCTCTGCTTTTTTTCTTAGGTTTGTCGGGGTCATGATGACCACACGCAAATATGAAGACGGACATGATTGCGAGGAACATAACAATCATGTAGAACACGAACATGAATCCAGACCTACCTAACATCATGCCCCCTTCATCTCGAATTCCACCCTCTAAAGTGACTGAATACCTCGCCATAACTGAAGAATAAGCGAAAGCTATGAACGCTTACCAAAGAAGAAGAAAAACAATTTTGAATTCACACAAATGCTCAGTTCGGTAAGAAAGAAAAAAAATGAAAGGAAGGGAGAGAAGAAGGGATGAATGGAGGAAGAGATTATGTAATTTTTTTTTGTTTATTTGTTTTATTGGATAGAAGACAAAAGAATATTCTCATAATTTACTAGTAGTTAAAAAAGAAAGAAATAAATTTTTTTAATTGTTTTTATCATTATGTCTAATAATATTTATAATATTGTAATTTATATAAAATAGTACTGTAATTTCAAATTTGTATAAATTATAATATTATTTAATTTAAAACTTCTATAATAGCCTACTTATCTTCTCTTCTATATTTCGTCTATTTTTTAGCGGATAAAAATTTATAAATGATGAAGGATGGTCATCTTTTTTATTTTCATTTCTTTCCTTATATCATCCTTATCGAAGAAAATTAGTCAATTCTTTTATATTTTCTCTCCATATTTCTTCTTTATTTCTTAAGGAAAAAAAAAAAAAAAAAATCAGAATATTATTATCGATCAATATATAATGAATGAAATATTATACTCTAAGTACATGTATTTATATTTGTAATTAAATCCTAACCCAGCCAAGTCCAATTCCACATAAATTCATAATAATTAAATTTAATATCCAAAGTTTCCTTATAGAACTAAAAAACATGTTATTTTGGAGTCCTAAACAAATGTGGTCGGTGTATATATTTATGCATTCACGTGCCCTTGTAGCATGGCTAAAATCTACCGCATATATGAAAATATCTCAATACAAAATGACAAAGTTACCCCCTTTTGAAATTCATTCTCACTCACCGTTGTGGAAATTAAATTTATTTTTAATATGTACATCAAATATTTATGTACTATGTAATTATGTATTTGTTGAAAAAAGTATAAGTTGTGTTTAGCTGTATTTTACATGTATTAAAAGATATATTTAATAAAATCTACCGCATATATAATTTACATTTTGCAAATTTTTAAAATTTTGACATTAATTTGCTAACTTGAAAATTTTCACGAATCTGTAATTTATTTCAAATTAATTTGTAAGTGAGAGAATTTGCAAATTTATGTACGAATGCGAAAAGGATATATTTGTCCATATATTGAAAACATTCATGGGTACATTGGTCGTTCCAAGATAAAATAAAGTTACAAAGATCTTTTCACCAAGTCAAAAGGATAAAAGTGACATTTCCCTAACTTAAACTTTGCACCTGGACTGTTAAATATATATATATATATATATATATATATATATATATATATATAGTTTTGGAAGGTTATTTTAACATTTTATCTTGAATATTTTGCTATTTTAGTACTGATAATGACGTCTTAACCGATTTTTCTTATTTTAGAATTCGGAAATTTCTTATGATTTAATTCCGAATGTTTCAAAATAATCCTTTAAAAGCCAAAATCAATTATAGAAACTTTTTTAAAAAGTTCAATTTCTGAATGCACTGTCAAAAACATAACTTTTTCTAGCTAAATGCTGCATTTAAAAAGGATTTTCTGCAACAGAGAAATTTTATTACATGGTACAGAAGCCCATTTTAAGAACCTAAGAAATTGGTATATAATACTTTGTAACATATTAAAATATATATTCAATTTTCAATTTAATTTAATATTTTCTCAAATATATAAATATAATATTTAATTACATCTCTTTTAATGTATATATGTAAATATATAATTTGCAAATTTTAGTGACTATAAAGTTTATAAATTAATTATATATGTATTTAACGGAAAAAATATAAATTTTATTAGTTGTATTTCACATGTATTAAAGATAAATTTAATAAAATTTACAACATATATAATTTACATTTTGCAATTTTTTTGAAAAAAATTTGACATTAGTTTGCTAACTTGAAAACTTCCATGAACTTGTAATTTATTTCAAATTAATTTGTAAGAATGAGAATATGCAAATTTATGTAGAATGCAAAAAGGATATATTTGTTTATATATTGAAAATATTTATGGGTACATTGGTGGTTTCAAAAGATAAAACAAGGTTACAGAGGTCTTTTCACGAGGTCTAAGAATAAAAATGACATTTCAAAAGGTGCCAGCTAACTCAAACTTTGCCCTTCGGGAGAGTGTCCGTTTCATTTTTATCCAAAG